TAAGAAATGCTGAGCGAGTTCGGCCCTTTTGATTTTCTGATTCCAGCTCTCTGCACATTTCATTATAGTATCTTGCTTTGTCATCCCGGGCTGCCTTTTGAAATTTTCTGTTCAGCTCTTTGATTTCTTGGTTTCTTCCTTTAGCTTTAGCTTCTTGGCACTCTAATGTAATACTCACAGTCTCATCTGACGTCCATCTTGGTCTTTTCTTCTTCTTCTTCAGCCTTTGTAATGATCTTTTGCATTCTTCATGGTGAGAAATAATAATATAATAATATAAAATAAATAGTGATATTTACCTTGGGTCAAAAAAGACAACTGTATGGATAGCACTTTTGACTCTTCTACTACAAACATCTAAACAATCTGCTAAGAAAAATCAATGCAGGCTAGAATCATCAGTTTAAGTTGTCAGAGTGAAATCTCTTCAAACAAATCTACAATGTAATTTCTATTAAAAGGGAAACCATATATTTTAGTATTCTGAATTACACCATGTATCAAAATAGACAAAAGAATAAGTTATTACAAACTTCAGCTAAAGAAAAGTCATAGATAAATACAAGAAAACTAGGTAACTTCTAGCTAATGAGATCTCTTACCGATTCAAAAGTTTTTTTTTTATTTTTTTACATTAAACATACAAAACATCTTCAAAGTTAATGGTAACCTAGGCTTTTCATTTACCTGATGTTTCACTTTCTGCCCAGAGTGCTGCAGAACCAGATAAAGTTCGCTGAAGCTGCCCACGGCTTCCCTGCTTCGACTGAAGATGATCAATAAGAAATGGGATTGGCTGGTCAGGTGTCTCAGTTATTAGTTTGGTCATTAATTCCTAAATGGAGAACAGAACACACATTTACAGCCAACAATCATAGCAGCAGTATAAATTAACACATGCATAGCACTTACAAACCACTTAGTAAACACTTTGACAGCACATAGCACTAGAATCCCGAGTTCCTCATCTAACTGCTTCAGTCTGACAACAAATTAATTCTCATGACGATCTTTTGAGGAAAACACAAGTTACCTGTCTTCATTTTGATGAAAATGATACACAGGGGAATTAAGTAAATTATTTGCACTGGACACATAATACATAGCAAACCTAGACCATAGATATTTTTTACTTTTATACCTACCAAAAAAACTGTAGCAGATATTTAATCTAATTCTTCTCTAGAATGTGAACTTCTGTTAAGGTTTCTGGAAACAAATGGGCATTAAGGTACTGACTGCAAAATGAACATACGTAACGTAATGGAA